CATAGAACAGGAGGACATGGGGGAATATGGATTGTGGTTAAGACAGGGTTGAGACAGAGAGGGATGACAATAAGGAGAGTATTAGCAGAAGGAAATTCTTTGTCATCTCAGCAGAGAGTCAATAATAGGGAACAGGAGAGAGGGAAGTGGGAGTTTACCCCTGTAAAACTAGGAAAGAATCAGCTAATTAAGACTTCCTCCTTGAGTGATGATTATGGGGGTGGAGAGTAGGGTGGTTGCTTCAGACTTTGTAGAGCTACAGGTAGAGACAGATGGAGTTCTCCTTGGGTGTTGGGGTTAAGAAATACCAGGTTAAGACCTGGTCATCAGGTCTCCCAGAATAGACTGAATTTACATTTGGTGCCAGCTCTATTACACTCCCTCATCATCTCAAGTTAATGGAAAATGAGACACAATTAGAAGATATTACACATGTTGAAGAAGATGTCAACTCCCAAATCGTAGGGCCCCTAAAGTGCAGGCCCTTTCATACCTTTGGAACCCTGAGGCTCATATTCTCTGATGTATTCATTCGTGATTTCTAATGGATAGGTGTCCGCTTTAGAGCCAACGTTTATTACCTCCACATACCCTCAACCACCTCCAATAAGATTATTCATATTCTGTGAAGAAGCTAAGTTAATATTTTTCCTTCCGGCAGTCAATAAACATTTGTCAAGCACCTGCTATGTGCCAGGCACTATGCTAAACGCAAGAAGTACAAAAAGAGGCAAAAGACAGCCCCTGCCCTCAGGGAGCTCACAATCCAATGGGAGAGACAACAAGCGACTATGTGTGAACAAGCTTTATCCAGGATACATAATTAAAAGAAGACAGGTGCTAGAATTTAGAGGCATTGGGAAAGGCTTCTTGTAGAAGATGGGACTTGCTGCTTCTGTTTGTCCTCTATTCTTGAAGACCTTGACACCAGGGAGGTGATGTCATGACTTGCAAGTAAATTGGATTTAAGTGAGGGAGGACTGTGCAAGGGCACCAGCCCCACTCTCTCCTCTGGAGTCACCTGGATCCATTGGCTAGATGTGGATTAAGACAACTGGAGATGGCCCAGGATGCAGTGGGGGACCTTGACCTTTGCAAGCTAAGGTCTTTAACAGGTCTCAGTTTGACTAATGCAGTGTCCATTCAGTGATTAAGGCTCAATAAGAAATGAGGCAAGTGGCAGCTAGGTGGCGTGTGGAGAGAGCACCTGCCTTGGATTCAGGAGGACCTGAGTTCAAATGCGGCCTCAGACGCATAACGCTTACTAGCTGTGTGACTCTGGGCAAGTCACTTAACCCAGATTGCCTCAAAGAAAAAAAAAGAAAGAAATATATTTTTACAGAAGCTTGTGGTTTGTTTTCTTAGTTCTTGAGAACTGCTTTGGAAATTAAAAGCATTATGTCCATTTGCTTCTTTCTCTTATCACTTGTACCTCTTCAAAAGACCTTATCATCACACTTATAATCAGTCACATGAACAATCTCATGAGGGAATCAAGGAGCAAAAACATGAGTCCATGCTATGCTTTCAAATACACCGTCATTCTGATCTTAAAAAACAAACAGCAGAAATGCTCTGTCCCCCTACTGGTCTTAATTGTTCAGGAATGATTTGAGATAAAACAAGTAATTGTGGAAATAGTGAGAATGTTGATACCCATGTTTGGGAGAGCAGTTTGGGTGTAAAAGAATTCACTCAGACCTTCCCTGCAGCCATTGATGAGTTCAGGGTGGACCTCAAGAATGTTGGGTGCTATCTGAAATGATGAGGAATAGATGTGTGGTTCCTGGTGTCCTGAAAGAATTCACTTGGATAGTCTCGAGGTTAAAGAAAGACATTTATTGGGGAGAAGCAGCCAAGCAGGCCTGCTCCCCATGAAGCAGAGCCCCAGTGGGCTCTTTATTCCATATGGGAGGCAGAGCATAGGCCACAGGCCCTGTTCCTTTAAGAGAGCAGAACAGCTCCTGCTTCCTGTAGGAGGCAAACGTGGTTAGCTAGGTCAAAGGTTTGGTTTAGATACAATTTTATGGAATGGGGAAAGGGGACAAGAGAATGGGGAGCAAGCATAGTTCCAAAATGCCTGAGATGTCAGGTAGTCTGGAGGTATTAAGCAAAGAGAACAGGAAAGGCAAGGGGAAGAGTTGTTCTAGAAATGAGTGTGCTTTGTGAAAGCACACAGAGAAGTCCATGGTGGGGGCTTCTATGCATAGTTGTCTGGCTGATCACATCCTGCATCTTTTCTCCTATCTCACGTCTTGCTTGCTTCATCTGTCTCCAGCACTCTTTTCTACCTCATCACAACTGCCCAAAGAAACCTATTGTGTCAGTACAAGGGATTCTAAATCATACTTTGAAAATATTTATGATTACTCCCAAGACCATTGTCATCATCACCATGCCTTACAGTAATATAATAGCTGATCATTTTTAAAGTGCCTTCACTTATATGAGGTAAGATGGTATGGCATAATGGAAAGTGTTGAAATTGAAACGAGAAATAACAGGCACAAATGTCACCCTGACATTTACTAGATATGACCATGGGTAAATCATTTCATTTCCCTAAGTCACAGTTTCATCATGTATAAATGGGAAATGATTCAGAGTGTCCCAAAAGTCAGTGTATTATATTGGTGCTCAAGAAACACTAGTTACAGGGCTGGGGAACCTGCAGACTCAAGGCCACTTGAGGCCTTCTAGGTCCTTGGGTGCAGCCTTTTGACTGAATCCAAGTTTTACAGAACAAATCCTTTTATTAAGGGGATTTGTTCTGTGATGTTTGGATTCAGTCAAAGGGCCACACTTGAGGACTTAGAGGGCCACGTGTGGCCTTGAGGTCACAGGTTCCCTACCCCTAAGTAGTACCTACCTCACTGAGTTGTTGTGAGCTTCAAACACGGTAACACATTTTAAACAATTTGTGAACTTTGAAGTTCTAATAATCAACAACCAAGAAATCATATGAACTTCTTAAGTATGTACTATGTGCCAGTCACTATGTGTCAGTCACTAAGCAATGAGATATAAATACAATTGTCAATTTAAAAAATATTGATGCCCCTAATAGTCTTCTGAAATATGTAGGACAGTTATTATTAATTCCAATTAACAGATGAGAAAATTTAGAGCTTAATCCTTTTTTGTGTCATGGACATCTTTGGCAGTTCTGATATAGCCTATGGATACCTCAGAATAGTGATTATAAGATCAAATACTTAGAATCACAAAGGAAACCAAAGATTAGTGGAAATTAAGATAGAATTTTTTCCCATCCAAGTTCACAGACTTCCTGAATCTATTCGTGGACCACTTGGGGTGGGGGGGTCTGTGGACTCCAAGTTAACAGCTCTTGGTTTAGAGGGCAAGCCACATAGTTAGTAAGCAACAGAGGTGAGACAAGAATTCAAGTGTTCTGATTACTAGCCCAGTGCTCTTTCAATTCAGTCAGATTCAAAGCTCAGAATGAATATTTATTAAGTATACACTTCTGGGACAACTAGGTATTATGGTGAGCCCTGGAGTCAGGAGGACCTCAGTTCAAATCTGGTTTCAAATCTAGCTGTTTGACTCTGGGAAAGTCATTTAACCCCAATTGTCTCCAAAAAAAATCCCTAAAAGTATATGCTGCTTCTGTCCTCCAGGAGCTTATATTCTACTATTTACATTTAATCTTCATGATTAAAATTTCTGCTCTGCTTTTCCTTATTTCACAGAGATAAATAAAATAGAATTCCCTGTATGTCTAATATGCAGAGATCACTAAAACTCTTCATTTATGTTGCTGTATACGATAAGTTTCATTTCTTTGGGAACTGAAAGAAACCCACAAAGGTTCCTGTGAGGGTAAGTGAATCAGCAAGTCTCTGGAAGCAAGATTGACTAAGCTTATATTTGGAACAGGGATGAAGTCAAGCAAGAAAGTGGGAGACAGAGTAGGGAGTGGAAAAGAAGGGATTTATATGTGGCACACTCATCATCTGTTCCTTCTTCTTTTTCTCCCCTTTTGTTTGGTGGTGTCCTTATGAGGACTCTTGGTCAGCTATGCTTTGGATACGGTGGAATATTGTTTAGGGTAAAATATCAGAGTACCAGGACCTGAGGCTTTATCAGCTGTGAGTAGGACTGTTGACAAGTATCATAAACTCCATTTGAGCAAGAGGACCGATGAGAGGTGATTGGGCTCTATGCAGTAGCTTCTAACAACTTTCTTTTTCTTTTTCCTTGTTCAACAAATCCTGGGGACAGAGTGTGGCTTTCCTGTGTGAAATCAAAATAGATCAGTTGCATTTAAGGAAATTGTTCATCAGTGAGTGAATGGTAGGAGAACTATATAGAGATTTCCCTAGAATTTTCCACTAATTTAGAGTAATGTTTTGTTTTCGTGCTCCCAGATCGATATTGAATGTATATTTGTTGATAAGTGGGGGAATAATCTGAATTTTTCAGGCTAAGCACCACTTGGTAAGCAATGAGGATATAGCATCTTTTAAGAAGGCTCACAGTTATGTCCCAAAGAGGAAGCTCCTGAAAGTACTAAGTTAGATAGACTTGGATGAAATCATTTTCATCGTAGCTGGTGGCTTGAGCATTTTGCCATCTGGTGGAAAAATTGCATATTACATACCTTTGCTGATTAATTTATTAAAAACTGTTTTCAGGCCTTTCCCTTGAGTCATCAGTGCAGCGAGCTGGGTCGAGCAAGCCTCTGCCACTAACAGGGCAGCTCAGGCAGGCTGCCCTGCCACCACCAAGAGATAATCATTGGAGCTACCCTTGAACCTCCTGAGGGATAACCTCCTCTTGCCATATAACCCAGATGATTTCAGACAGCTTTTGTATGAACAGTGGACACTACCACCACCACTGCCTTGTAAATCTCAGCTGGAATAGAATCAGCCCAGGCAGTTTGCCACGTGAGAGGAACTGAATGGCATTAAAAACCTCTTCTTTAGTTAGAAGTTTGGCTAGAGAGGGATTGGCTTCAACTTGAGATTGAAAGTATGGCTATCTTTTTCACAGTTGTTGCCAGAGGCACAACCACACTTGCCAATCATGCTTGGTGTGGCAGAAACTTCCTGGAGGTGACGGAGCAGATTCTGGCTGAAATACCATTTGAAAATAACAAACTCACTTATTCACATGGAAATGATCTATTTCACTATATCTGCCAAGACAGGATCGTGTATCTTTGTACTACACATGATGATTTTGAATGTACCCGAACCTTTGGTTTTCTGAATGAAATGAAGAAGATGTTTCAGATTTATGGTTCCAGAGCACAAACAGCCCTTTCCTTTGCCACGAACAGTAAGCTCTCCAGTGTTCTGGCTGCACAACCGAAACATCACTCTGAGAACAAACACATGGACAGAGCTGTGGAGACTCAAGCCCAAGTGGATGAACTAAAAGGATGCATGGTCCAGAACACTGATCTAGTGGCCCAACAAGGAGAAAGACTGGAGTTACTGGTAGATAAAATAGAACGTCTGGTAGATTCATCAGTCACCTTCAAAAGTACTAGCAGGAACTTTGCCAGAGCCATGTGTATGAAGAACTTGAAGCTCACCATCATTATCATCATTGCAGTGATGATCTTCATCTATGTTGTCATCTCAGTTGCCCGTGGTGGGCTTACCTGGCCAAGTTGTGTGGCGAAATAAATTCAGAACAATCTTAAGCCAAGAATATGAGGGAGCAAGAATTAAAGAAGCAACCCAAGTAACTTCCTCCTGATTGCTACTGTCCATCCCATCCTTCACTTTTCTTCCATCATCCCCAGACTGCATTTTTCTTTGTGTATCCCAGTGCCCCCCAAAAGGAGCCATCTAGTCACTGCTTCTGTGCCACTGCCACCTTGGTTGGAAAGGGACTTATTCTGAACTGTTTGTTGTTACCCAGATGGAGCCACCCAACTCTCCACCTGCTATTTGGGAATAAAGAGAGCACATATATTGGTGTGACTGTATACACCGAAAGAAAAAATAAAAGACCTTTAAATTCTGAACCTTAATGGAAAGTTGGCAACCATACTGTCATGGGCTGCTATTGCTGTTATAGCACCTAATGTCAGTTGAGATACCTGTCAAGAGCACATACAACCTATACCTCTACCACATGATACAAGGACAACATGGCTTAATGGAAAGGTCTTTTGATTGAATGTCTCTGCATAGGATATAGAGGGGCTCTTTCATACTTCCTGGAGAATGGTTTAAGCGACTGGGGCTGTCTTTTATAGGAGAAACTACCCAACTTCATACACACATGGAAATTTACACATTGCCAGGCAACCCCCTGCTTAGTTATTGAAGGAATTAATGGAAAAAATGAAGTAGCTGATAAAAATTTTATTAAAAAGTAAGCAGAGAATAACAATGAAGAAAATGTAATGAGGTCATATGAGTTTCAGTGGGACTCAAAGATAGCAATTTATTGAATGAGAATGAATGTGACTAACATTGTCCACAATACTATGAAAGTTGGGTGTGAATTAGGATTGTAAATGGAAATCAGCAGTACCTTCTTTTCCATACTTAAATTGAGTTAGCAAATAGCTAACTAGTTATATCTTATTCATACATTTTTATGTGTATTTAATCTTTGGAGAGGCAATATTATGTAGTAGAAAGAGGACCATCCTTCAAGTCAGCAAGACCCTTATTCAAGTGTTTTACCTCTGATACATACTAGGTGCGAATCTTGTCACTTATTTCCTAGATCCAGAGCTCTGAGGTTCTAAACCAGTTCTTAATCTTTCTCTCCTTAATCTTCCTATTTCTCTCTCTCTCTCTCTCTCTGTCTCTCTCTCTGTCTCTCTCTCTCTCTCTTTCTGTGTGTGTGTGTGTGTGTGTGTGTGTGTGTGTGTGTGTGATAAACCCCTTTGGCAGCCTCAGGAAACCTATGGACTCTTCAGAATAATGTTTTCAACACATAAAATGCACAGTATTAAAAAAGAAACCACTTATTTTGAAATATAGTTGTCAACATATTTTTCTCATCCAGGTTCCTGGACACCTCTTCCCTCTGAAATCTCTCCACTGACTCCTGTGTGACCATGGACTCAGGGTTATAAACCTCTGATCCAAATTGTATGTTAACATTCCTTTCAAATGTACAACAAAATTATCATGTGAATTTCTTTTTTTCTTCCCTCCTCCCTCACCCTAGAGATGGCTACCATTAGACACAAATTCTAAGAAGTATTGATTAAATATGATTATAACCCCCCAAAAGCAAGCAAACAATTTCATGGTGATAGAGTGCTGCTAGTTTTTTTTTTTTCTTCAGTTTTTTGAATCCAAGGAAACTAAGTTATCTCACCATCTGTTTTTAGTTCTCTCCAACTGAAAAAAGAAACTCCTACACCAAACTGTACATTGACCCAAATTAATTCTGAAAACTGAATTGACATTACATGATAGTTGTGTTCACCCTGCAGCCAATTATTATACTAAAATAATCTTAAATGACCTTTGTGGCTTATTTTTTTAGAGCTGTGAAACCAAATATCTTGAAATGAAAACTGAAAAATTTATCCAAAAGGAAAATATTTCCAAATATTTACATATTTACACATTTAAACACATGTAGGTCAACTATATGACTTTTGTCAAGTTCATTTAGATTTTTTAAAATGCTTGTATCAATATAAGAATTTATCTTCATTTGTCAAAATGAAGAATAGTAAACTTTATTATGATGAAAAAAGCCCCATTGAAAAGTATGCTTTACATTAAAATTTGACATTTTTAACCCTCCAGAATACATAAAAAAACAATCATTGAGGAACATTTTCTGTAAGAAAATGGCAATCAAAGATAAATGAGTCATTAAAGAAATAGTTAGTCAACATCTAGAAAAAGAAGTAATGATTACAAAAATCCCAGCATGGCTTCTTCAATGACTGGTTTGAGAAACCATTTTTTTAAATGGGTTACTAAAATGGTAGATCAGGGGAGTGTTGTTGCTAAAGTCGACATTTACTTAAATAATTTGATTAAAATTTTTTTTGATTAAAAAATGGAGATGTGGACTACACGATAAGAAAAATAGATAAGCATGGAACTATTTGGTAAGTAAGATGCAAAGAATAATTAATTATATTAATTAAATATAATTAAATACATTGATTAATAATTAATATATTATAATATATTAATATAATAATAGTGGTTAATAAATGCTTCTCACTTGGCTGATTGGTTTGTTCAATGCTGACTTGGCATGGGTTGTCTAGCAGAGTCCCCAAGGACAGTCCTGTGCTATTTAACATTTTTATGAATGACTTGGATAAAGGTGTAGTTGGCTTGCTTATTAGAGTTTCAGATGACAGAAAGCTGGGAAATGCAACTGCTCACTAAATGACAACATTCCAAAAAGATCTTGACAGGCTAGAGCATTGGACTGAATCTATTAAGACAAAGTTCAATAGTCTTATACCTGGGTTCAAAAAATCAATTTCACAAGTAAAAGAAGGAAAAGGGATTGTTGGATAGCAGTTGTGCTGAGAAAGATCTGAGGGTTTTAGGGAATTTCAATCTCAATGAGGGAGCAAAAGAAGCCACCAAGATCTTGGGCTATTTTTTGAGACTCTTAGCATCCAGATATGAGGAGATGAAAGGTGTTTTATGCTTTATTCTCTTCAAATCACATCTGGATTGTTTTGCTTAGTTCTGGGTGCCAAAGTTTGAACAAGGATACCAGTAGGCCGAAGAACATGCAGAGAGTGACAACAAGAATACTGAAAGTCTTTAAGTCTATGTTGTATGAGGATCACTTAATCAACCTGGAGAGGAGGAGCCTTAAGGGGGACATAAAACTGCCTTCCAGTATTTAATGAGCTGTTATATGGAAGAAGGATTAGACTTTTATTTTCCCTTTTGGCCCCAGAGGCAGAAGGATGGAAGAGCAATGGATGGAAGTTAAAAATAGGCAAACTTAAGTTTGAAGTTAGGAAAAAACTACCTTGCCACTGAGGTACCTTCCAATTAAAAAATTATATGAATCTGTGATAAGAAGTCATGCTTAATATTCTCTCTCTCTCTCTCTCTCTCTCTCTCTGCTTTCAAGTTTTCTTCCACAAAATGCCCATCATGTTTTACATGATTGACTATGTATAATTTCTATCATATTGCTTACTGTCTCAAGAGGAGACAGGGGAGGGAGGAACAGATAGAATTTTGAACTCAAAACTTTAAAAAAAACCAGCGAATGTTAAAGAATGTTTTTACACGTAATTGGAGAAAAATAAAATATTAAAAAAGAAGTCTGGGCGTAGGCCTCACATCTTTGATTTGATGGGAGAAATCCTTATATCTTGAAACACATCTCACTTTTTAAATATGTAAATTGAGCATAATCAAATTAAATTCTTACCCAACACCCTACAGGAGGAAAGTATTTTTAATTAAAAGATATGCTACTGGGAGAATTACTTAGGGACTAAATATTTGTTGAATCTAATTGAATACTACCATCAGAAAGTCACTACATACGTGAAATACTACATGAAGCCAATGAAAGCAGTTCATTTAGAATCACATCGAAAGTCAAACTGACCAGATTTAACTCCAAATATGTATATAATTTTAAAAAAAATATTTTTTCATTCAACCTTCAAACCCACTTAGGTCATTAGCCATACTTTATTTCTTGACTAAGACCCTCTCCTCTAAAGCCCTCAAGATTATACCTGTTTAAAGTCCCCCAAATGTTCTAGTGTATTTTTAAAGTATGTCAAATAGTAAGAGGATAGACATTTAAAAAAAAAATTAATAGTATAGAATTCTATGCTCAGGTCTTAAATCAAATGATTTCTTACTTTGCTCTTTTAAAAAATGCTTCTGGGAGAAGGGACTGGAAATTCAGCCATAAAATCCTCAGTTTGGTTTCAGTAGGAGATTTCTTTCCCCTGCCCCCATCCCTTTGCTGAAACTCTAACTCTCTGTAGATATTCATTAGCTAACAGGAAGCCATCTATTACTTCACTTTTTTATTATTACTATATTCCAATGCATTTGGGATTTCATAATATTTCTCTTTGGCATTGTCATCTCATCATACGTATAAAAAGATAATTAGATTGCATATCCCAGTGCACAGAAGGAGGAAAAAAATGTTGCTCCAAGTCACTGCTTCACTAAATTTCCTCTGATTTCGATAACCTCCTCTAAGTACAGGAGCATAATTTGTCATTTGGGTCCATTAATCTCCACTGGTTTACTTTGGGGTCAAATGAAGCCATATTGAGTTAATGCATTCCGAGATTTACCACAAAGTGTTCTCTAAGGATGATGAGATAATGACTACCAAATTATTTCATAGAAGCCTCTAAATCATTATCACACAGAGGCTCAACTTTGGCTGACCTACATGACTGTATTTAAAATAACTCATGTACCTATACTCCACTCTTTTTCAGAAAATAAAATTAATTTTTGAGTCTTATTATTTACTTTTGAGGGATTCTCTAATAAAAATTAACCTTTTAGTGGCTGTCACCAGCATTATACAAACAATTTAAATAGTACAAGACCGTGTTTATACACAAACCAGTTTAGGAGAGAGCACTAAATCAAGTAACAACTGTCTTTTCAAAAAGTACAGCAGTGAAATCTAGTCAAAAATTAGTAGCTAACTGGTTGCATACAGAATAATCTCC